AGCGAATATCAGAAAATTTGCTACGATTACTTTACAAATTTATAGACAATTTGTAATATTACTTGAAATATTAAAGAAAACTTTCTCTTTTAACTTGTTAATTATTTTCAGCAACATTTATATGCTCTAATGATTTAAATCGAATTATTAATTGCATTTTACATCAACTAATGAAATTTATACGCCCAAATACGGATTTATAAGAATTTTGATTTAAACCCAATGGCTTTTATCATTTAAAAAGAGAATATCGGAATTTAATACGTCATATTCAATAGAATTAAATTATGTATTTAAAATTTAATTAGTTTTATACGGTTTCAGCTCTTTCTTGATTACAAAAGGTAATTTATTTTAGCTCTTCACTTCGAGCACAAATTAAAAACGTTTATTATACCTTTTTCTTCAAGAATGTTCAAAAATACAAAAATCTACTTTTCTAAAATATTTAGCGGTATACTATTACCGTACCGAATTCTTTAACTTTCAAAATGTTTCACATAAATGTTTAAACTTTACCAGAAACTTTACGGGAAATAATTCATTCCAATTTTACAAATATAAATTATATTTCTTCTCCAGCCTCCCTAAAAAATCATATCACTTACATTGAATGGATTTTAGCTTTAGATGAAATAACCCAAAAGAGTAGTATTTTGACCGAGACTTTTTCTTATAAAAAAACTAGACAATAAATATGATATTAATTGTTGCAAAGCACAATAACTTATAATTATTGTTCAAAACCTATTCGTAAATGATTTGTTAGTTTTAAAACTTAAAAATTATTTAATTGAATATAAAAATTGAATATTATTTACATTTGTAATGCACCACTCTAAAGAAACTACTTTTAATTATTTGCGACAATGGTTCATAAAGAGGAATATACAAACCCATATTATCGATCAGTTTACATTAATAGATACTCGCAGTAGTTAATAATAAAATACATACAATTAGACTAGACCACTCCCAAAATCCAAATTTAAATTGGATTTTAAAGTTAAAAGCATTTTATCCATTCGGAATTTTAAAATACAAATATCATGATGATGTAAAATTTATGCACACTCATTAATAACTCACAAGCGGTAGCTCCTTTTTATAATCAATTAGTTATTTAGAAATAGTTTTAAATTCAATATTTTACTAGAGTCGGCTCCAAAGTAACTCAACCGGATCGAACTGTTATCCCTATTGGAAAATAACTTAAAATAATTAAAACTTAAATTAAAAGCGCCGAGATCGTAATATAATTTGATCTACACAGTTTAAACACAGTTTTTGAAAGTTAAATCCGGATCCGATTTATAAAATTAAATAAATCCGGAATTAAAAACAAACCCTGTTCCAAATTTAAAACCTGCTCGATAAAGTATGTATTATTTTGGAACTTTGTTCTAATTTAAAATAAATAGCAAAAAAAAAATCGTTTTTATTTTCTACATTGTGATACAATAAACCTGGCAAAACCGTCAAATTCGCAAATTTGTTATCGAAACTATTGAAATCCATCGAAACTGTCGAAATAATTTTTGATAAGTATCAACTTTTGCTATAATGGTTTTACTCCTTACAAAATGGACAATCTTGTAACTCTGGCACATCGCAACAATCCCAACGAATAATACGTGCACAGGTGCAATCTAATTGCCTTTTCACCAAGCTTGAGCGTTTCTCACTAGAAGCAGGAGCTGAGTAAGCAACATTACTGAGAGCTAAAATGACGATAATAAGAATGTAAATGTGAATTTTTATCATGACTTTGAAGGATCAATTTCACAAATGTTTTATAATATATGAATTTTAAAAACAGATTCTTGTGGGAATGTAGCTTAAAGTCGTGTATTTATAAGTAAATCAGATTAGTGTTACAATTTAAATTCTTTGATGTCTATTGACAATGCGATAACAAAATTTCCTCACTTTATATAGTTTTTAAGTACTAGGCTTACTGGGCTTATCCTTAAGAAACTTGTATTTGCTTGCTATAGATTCTCATAAAGAGCGTTACAACCTTTAAAGCCACTCAAATGCTGTAATAAATATTTGCAACTAATCACACCATTGTAAATCCCAAATATAATCAGTTAGAAAAAAATTTAAGCTATTGTATATATACAATGAATATAATTCTCCCCACAGACGATGATTTGTTCAACACATCGTTCATGTTGATTTTAGTTAGACAGTTCGCAAATGGGATATTGGTGTTGTAATGGCATTGTTTGCTGTAACTAAGCAAGAGGCTTTGGTAATGTAACTAAGCCAAGAAGCATTAATAATGTAACTAAGTAAGAAGCTTTGATAACATAACTAAGCCAAGAGGCTTTAGAAACTAAGCCAAAAAGCTTTTGTAACGGTATTAATAAAATTCAAATTCCTTTTTTATTTCAATAACAAATTATATACTGTTTACGTCTAATATAATCCGTCCGAAAGATCACGATTTACGCTTGTAAATTGCATATATAACTAGACAGTACATTTTTTCAGTACCCACCGGCTAACTGGTGTGGTCACAAGATTCGCATGATTGTGGTTGTATCGCATATGAGTTTTTAAATATAATTTTGTAATTTAAATAAAGGTAATTTATTTGACGAATTTACTTGATTTTGGTAAATTGTTTTATTTTTTTTTTAATATTTCATTATTTTATTTTTTTTATATTTGATCATTCAATATAAAAATTAACTCCATAAATATTTCGAAAATAAAATAAAACCAAGCCCGGTCAGAAGGGTCCGTTAAAATTTAACTTTACAATAATATTTCGTTCGAAAATTAACCAAGCCTAGTCAGGACGGTCTGTAACTTGCCTTCGTCATAGTTCTCATTTTTGGCGAAAGAATTAATTATCTATATTTATCTATTATATTTAAAATTAATTTATTTAAAAAAAAAAAAAAATTTAATATATCATGGGAAAAGGTAACGGAGGCAAAGTTTTTTTTATTTATGTTTAAATCAATTATAAATTAAAATACAGAGCTAACTAAAAAATAAATTTATCTTTATTATACAAACAAAAAGCCACCAAAGCCGAAAGCTAATGAAATGACAAGCCATTACAAAATTAATGCATATATACAACCCATGTTCGCAAGGAGGGAGGGTGGGGGATATAATCCGAATCGAAATCTACTAACTATTGGTAATCGAGTGAGAATCCTAATCGATAACTTGCGCAAGGCGATCTCACCAAAAAAGAATATACTTTGCAACACTTTGATATAAGAGCACGAGACTTGTATTACTTTGTACAAAGACCGATTAGGAAAAAAAATAGGTCTGTTTTCTATTCTACGATAATCATAAGACAAATTATTAAATAATGCTTTTAATTATAATGATTTTTATTTATTTTTTATTATTGCTTTCGATAACTGTGGCAAGTCTCTGTAGATCATTTTTCGATTCAAATACTGATCTGCAAAATCGTACCGGTTTTCTATCTACCCTGAATTTGTCGATCGAATTTTAAAAGTAAAATTTTACCTTCTTTCAATCGTTCGAAATCGAAAAATCGAAAAAAAAAGAATTTATAACGTATTTTTATAGAATTCATAGTATATAGTGTATTATTGCAAAATAATGGTAAAATTTAATCGATTATTTCAATTGTTCCCGTAAGATATAGTTAAATAGATTAAACTTTAAAGATGATGCTGAATCAACAAGTCAAGGTTATATTTCAAACTTCAGATCCAAGCACGGATAAAAATATTTTAGAGGAAGAAATTAAACAATTCTGTACAAATACAATGAACACCCTTTCAGCCCAACCTAGGAAAAGAATTGAAAATATTGATGTGGGAAATCCTGTTAAACAAAATGTTTTAGCTTGTTCATTAATTAATTAATTTTCTCTTCCCTTTAGATAGGTCATTTTGCATTGAAATATTTATTGTTTTCAATTGGTGATAAACAGTTGTTATCGAATTTAATAACATTTTATTAATTTTTAACGTAATTTCTGGTGGACAAGTTATGCATTTCTTTTGGGAAGTTTATGAAAATTGATGGAAAAGATAAAGTTTGGACAACACTTTTAATGAATCTAAGGGCATTTGAAAATGTAAATATTTATATAATGATTAAATTGGCGTATTATTTTACAAGAATATACTCGGTTCATTAGTAAGTTGTCTTCAAAATTTATATATTAACATTTCTTTTAAAATATAATTTTATGAATATTTTTAATGATACATTAGTCAAAGAAATTTACAAATTCAAGCCAGATAACAAATGCATCAAAATTAATGCTTATTCTTTAAATAAATTGTTTCGGATTCCCACGAAAAATATAATAATATTTCTATGGACGTGAGGTATTTATTGGTTTTAAAAGATAGTTCGGAGCAACAATCATTTCATTAATTACTGAATATCAAGGCACCTAGTTGCTAATGAAACAGATGAATTTTCTAAAAAAATAAAACGACTTACTAAAAGGAATCTGTTACATACGCGTGATGTACACCAAATTTAGAGGTGAATGTAGCTCAAATTTGTTAGATCAGTAAATTCCTAATGTAAAGCGTGAGTCATCCGATTTGGTTAAATAAAACTTTGAAAGATTATAATGAGGGATATTATGCTTGACAGGAGTATTGTGCAGAATTTTTATATAATAATGAAAGAGTAAAATTAAAAAGAATTATGAGATGATTATCAAAGATGACTTCAAATGCGTGAAACATCATAAAGAGCTTGGATACAATGCTGCTGCACATGTTTTAAGTTACTTCACTCACCGAGGTACAAATTTTCAATTGTTTAAAGTAGAGATTGCTGATTATTTCAACATCTGGTGTACTTCTGGTAATTGACGTACATATGACTAATTCAAAAATGGAAGGTTTCATAAAACTATTCCAATCGTTTTAAAATTGTATTTGAACAATGCAAGTCTTTTTTGAAAAAGCAAAGGTTATAATGAACATTTAAAAAGAGTTATGTTTACAAGATATTTACTTGAATTAAATAGATCGCTATCCAAAATTGAAATGATTGCGCTTTGGATGATTGATATCTTATAAGTCGAAGAAAATAATAATTGGAAGGATTCGCACAATGTATGGAGTTGGCTACTTTTCTCATTAAAGATAAATTTCGTCATTTGTAAACAATACGTTATATTTTAGATTATAGTTTTAATACTTCCTCCTGATTACGTAATATTTCCAAAGATTTAGCGAATCTGAGATTGAATAGAGTTTTCAAATAAATGATAAAAATAATCAAAGTTTTGAAAATATCTTAGAAGAATTTGAATTAACATGAATATACAATTAATAAAATTATAGATAATGAAATCATAATTTTTTAATAAATCTTCTAAATCTATTTACATAATAATATGAAAACTAAATTAAATTTTTTAGCCCGAAAAATAAATTATATAATCTACAAGATTTACAAAAAGCACAATGACAACAATTAAAAAATAAAAATAATATCCTAATTATTATAGAATGTTAAAGGCTTTATTTCTGTATATGTAAAAGGTAATCTTTTTATACGAATCAAAACTTCTATAACTTAATTTATGCTTAATATAAACTGAGTTATTTAAAATGATCAGAATTAATCTAAAATCATTTAGATTAAAGGTTCGGGCGAAACCTGATTATTACGCCCAATCCGAATCCGAAATCTAGGCGATATTAGTTACGCCTCAACAAAAAATTTCCGAAATGTCCGATTGAGTCCGATACTGCCCAAATCCGAAATTCAATCCGAATTATTTGAAATTCTCCGAAACTTAATTATTCACGTGAAAATCAAATATATAACATTGTTGGTAAGACAAACATTAATGCATTCGCGTCTTACAAAATGGAGGCTAATTCAACTACTTCAACCGATGATACTTCATTACCTCCGGAGGGGGTGTCGACTCAAACGGGTTTGGAATATAGCAACGGGGGTAGCGGTAGTTTTTAAAATTTTGTTTCTTGAATGCTGTATCTTAATTGTGCGTGTTCTTTTTGTATTCAAATAACCTTATCGCAGTACTGCATCGTTAAATCTAAAAAAAAAAAATAAATTGATACTTCATTACCTAAACGAAAAGTTGGTAGGAAACCTAAATCAATAGTTTAGGAACACATTAGATGTATCGAATTAATAAATAATAAATTATATGCTAATTGTATATTATGATTAAAATAGTACATTAATTAGCCTAATTTATCAATATAGCAACTTCAATGTATTAATAAATAAATTTTGTAATTAGTTTATATTATAGCATTACAGGTTTAAATCAGCATTTATTTTGATTGGCTAACTAGTTTTGGAAGGTCTCGCTAGTATTGTCCAGTTTCGCCAAATATCGTCCAGTTTCGCCAGTTTCGTCTTAGTTTCGGATTATCGGAAAGTTTCGGATTTTCGTTCTTGAAAGCCGAAACGTTTCGACCTTAAGATTTTGGTTTCGCCCACAACTTTATCTACAATGATGTTAGAATATTTTTATCAAAAAAGATCAACAAACATAAGGAGATGTATAACTTCTAGCAGGTTCCTGGAGAAAAAATTGAAGAAGATGAGTATTCAATTGAAACAGTTATTAGAGAAACAGAAGAGAAAACAGGATTAATTATTGAAAATGATATACTAAAACTTATTTTTAATAATCCTGAATTCAACTGCAATATTTACATCACCAAAGTAAATATGAATATGACTCTTAAAAATACTGAACTGGATAAGTAATGCTCATGAATCCTGAATACCTTTAAAGAATATGAAAGAAAATGCAAAAGAAAAGAAATGACTCTAACACACGTTAAATATTTTCAAAAGATAGAAATAAATTGAACAACTGCTCAAGCTCATTGGGAGGAACGTAAACCCTAAAATGCTTATTTTGCTGAAGCTGAAATCTTTGGAAGGAAAACTAATGTGATGATTGATACAAAAGCTGTAGAATGTATCATTACTAAAAGTTTCTTAGATTCTGTGCATAAAGATATTGAAGCATCTACAAATATGCAAATAATTAGTGTCACAGGAGCAAGAACAGTGCCTCTAGAAAAAAAGTTAAAAGTAAGCGTAAAAATATAAAAGTTTGAGATCAAAGAGAATATGATAATTATTGAATCCTCTAGATATAATATTCTACTTGAAAATGATTGAATAATTATGCAAGCAAAAGCTATTATCAATATAAGCAAAAAAATTATAATAATTAAACAAAATAATGATACTGATGTAATTCCAATCACGTGCTTTTCCAAAATTGATCCAAAAGTATTTACTCCTATAGATTTTGTTAAGAAAGAATATAATAAATTAGAACTTGAAGAGATATATAAGAATCCTCAACACTATTTGAATGTATTCTTTAATAACAATATGACTACCATTAATAGTCAACAGTACCTAACTGAATTTTCAGAATTTAGCAAACTTGAACTTCTTAGGACTGATAAGCATTGGAAAGGACCAGAAAAATGCTTATATAAAATACTATCAAAAGAAGAAGATTGTTTATATTATAATGTATTATATCAGAACTTACAGGAATATTAAATAGCTATCTTAATTAATAAAATACAAATTGAAGCAAGCGATAAATTAATATAAATAATAAAAGGAAAAGAAACACCAATAGAAACTTAATAAAAAATCAGCAGCAGCAGTTACAATAGTTACTGAAGAATAATAAAGATCTATTTGCTATTGAAAAATCAGAATTAACACAAACTAATATTTCTCAACATACAATTATCACAGTAGATGTGCATTTAATAAAAAGGAAACCATATGCAACATCTTCAAAGGAAAAAGAATGAATAGCATCAGAAATTGAAGAAATGTTAGAACAAGAAGTGATTTGACCATCTAATAGTCCTTAGTCTACACCTATAGTTTTAGTCAAAAAGAAAAATAGTCAGATGCAGATATGCGTTAATTATAAAGAACTTAAAATAATCACAAGGAAAAATAATTACCCATTATAATGAATAGATAAGTTATTGGACTCACTTCAAAGCTCTTGTTAGTTTACTTCTTTAAATCTATTCTCAGGGTTCAGTAGGGCAAATTTGGGGGTTCTGGGGTCAAAATCGAAAAAAGATATCCAGAAAGATCTCAATCATAGGCTAGAAGCTCTTCTAGCTATATGAATCCATAATATAGAATTCAGGTCTAAAATTTACAACAGCGTTCAATTTCGATATCAATCTCCTTGCTATAAAATTTGAGCTTCAGAAACTAAAATCAACCAAATTGATATATCATTTCTAACGCGATTTTAAACCCACCAAAGATATCAAAAAAATTATACTATTCTATTTGCCTTTGAGACGACACGAGATTGGCAAGAACCAAAGGTTCGAAGTCAAGCTCGTAGAGTCTTTGCAAACCTTCTATGTATACTAATATTTATGCTATATTGCTTGTCTTTGGGAGTAGACTCGAATATTAAGGAACAAAGTGACGAAATATACGAGGCTATGAGCTTGTCAAGCCTAAGATGCATACTAATTTTTGAGATATCCTAGAATTAATTCTAAAGTTGATTCATAGTCATAAACAAAGGGTCACTAAGTCTAACCAAAAATCTCGACGTCTAACCTCTAGGTATCAAAATGCTAAGTCTAACCTCGAAGAGGTTAGATTTTGCTATTATCAAATTACTGTTCTAAAAGCTAAGAAATTGTTTCTTGTATACTTAGTTTTTATGATACACAGGAAGCCATTCTAAAACCGTTTCAATTCCAAATAGTTAAGGTCAAAAAATATACCAGAGGTTAGACTTCTGGGTTAGAGGTTAGATTTGTGAATCAAGGGTTAGACTTAGTATCTATCAAAAAAAGCTTTCTAGACGAAAAAAAATATATTCCTATCATATATAAATTTATAATA